ATACAAAGTATTCACAATGAGTGTTGATGATCACATTTTGTAAATATTTTTTGACAGTGCAATTTTTATAAGCTCAGTTCATAATATTTAATATTAAATTGGTGAATTCATGAGTAATCGGCTTAACCGAATCCAGTATATATAAACATCTTGAAGTCATACTTTTGATAAATATTTCCTGAACAAACAGTTTCACAAATATTTTCAATCAATATTTCAATATTATTATTTGCAGTATTACAGTTTTACAAAGAAAACAATTCACATCACAGTCTTTCATCTGAACTGACATTTCAATTCATAGAGTGTTCAAATAAACACATCCATTAGTTTTAAGAAGTGTTAGAATTAAGCTGAAGAAGGTGTGAAGGAGGACAACACATCAGACCTCTCACGGTCCATAAATCGGACTTCTGGGATATTTAATTACAGGGCCCACACTTAACATCTTTATTTCCACTGCGCAGCTCTGTGATTGTAACGTCCTCAGTAGTCTGATTAAATAAATTAAATTTCATTTTCAAACCCCACCAGGGGGCAACTTTTTATAATACTCACACCTGTATGGAATAGCCAAATTGTATTACATAAAGGTGTGAGGTGATTTTGGTTGATGGAATGATCAGTTAAGTAAAGAAGATATATTTTTAATATAGTAAAGAACATTTATTTTTCTTTACAGCTTTCAAAAGAAGTTGGTCCTAACGCTTTAAAGTTTTGTGGATTGCAAGAGATCTAACTTTAACCAATCATTCTCACACCAAAGTACGCCGCAAACACTAATCTAGCACACACATTCAAGAGTTCTAGTAACACAATAATGAAGGATGAACATACCTTTCCCTCAGTGACACTGCGTAGAGTATCAATCAACTTGAGTTTCAGTTCCTTGGAGGGCATCAAGTCAACATAAGAGCAACATTCTTGTACCATTTTAGCTACTGCCTGCTTTAGCTGTGACCTTCGCTTGGCCAACAATGTTATGTGTTCATTCAGCGCTGCATAATTCTTGGCTTCAAAACATATCTGAACGATGGCGATAAGTATGCGACCGGTCGAGAACATGTCAGCACCCTGAAATATTTTAAATTGCACTCTTGTTATTTTTTATAGGCTAGATTGAAACTTGATTGCTGCTATCAGGGATGCAATAAATTAACTTAACAAGAGTCGTTAAGTTTCTTGGCTCAAGTTTGATTGAATATCCCATTATAATTATAAGTGAACAATTTCAGTAAAACCCAAATAACCTGAGAGTAAAATTGTATGCAATTTTTTTTTGGGCTATAAGGATTGAGAATTCATATTGAACCAAGGTTAGCAAAACACTTGAATGCAAACACTTGAGTTTGAAAATGTTTCATAATGTAACACAGGATGATATGAATATTAATTAGGCATACAACCAATTTCTTTTCATAGATTTCAAACTAGCCAAGGGCTATATATTCAGTTTGACGTTACTAAACTATAGGCCTAAGTGTTACACTGTTATCTTGGTGTTAATAAAATACCCACTACGGTTACCGTAGTATAAAATTAATAACCTTAACAAGTGAACATGAGGAAACTCCACAGGGAAATTTCATATATCTGATAAGTTAATATAAGTGGGAAATTTTCTTTCTACCTGTTCTAGTCTGCTTAATATAAGTGGGAAATTTCTTTCTAACCGTTCTAGTCTGCTTTTCCAGAGCTAGGAGAGCGTCAAGCGCATCATGCATTTTCCCTTCTTGTGCCATCTTTTTACATTCTGGAATCTTCTCATCGCATGTAGTACTGTAATCCACTTCCATTTTGACAATGCGTCCCTCAACAGCAAGATTCCCGTCAGCCATGGTTGTAGATCTAAGAAAAACACATGATCCCAAATGGTGAACACAAAAATTATCAACCCGTCATAAAAGCGTCTGGAGGTTAGCCTATTTATAAGATCATTAAATAAACTTACTACACGTACGTTAGACCTACGATACAATAAGTTAAAAACTCAATTATTACTACTAAATCATGGCACCTAAGCATATCGTAGGGTCTGGTTAGTCAGGGTTGTTTCAACAGAGTCTAAGTTACTAAGGTAACTGAATTGCAGATAATCAAAAGGACCTAAGTTATAACAGAATTCATATCTCAGAATCTAATGAATCTCAGAGACTAGGATTGTGAATGATGCAGGCAATAGTGTTGCTAACTTGTGTAGCCTAACTATCTCAGCCTACAATAGAAAAGACAATATCGCAATTGTGAATATCGCAAACATTTTACAAGTCAGTTAACTTAGGCTAGGCAGTCACATAAGTAAGTTTCTTAACTGGGCCTTACCCCCTCCCTCCCTGTGTAATCGATTAAAACTTATAAATTCTCAAAGTATTGACTGAGACCTAAGTTATTTCATTATAAAATGAAACTGTTTAGTTATAAGTTATCCAACCTAACTTAACTAACCAAACTTGCTGATAATAACTTAGTGATAGGTAATGAACAAAGTGGAATGAAGGTTTAGTAGGCTAACCAAATCAAAAGTTTCAATCGATATACGAGTAGCCCAGTTAAGAAACTGTAGGCATAAGTTGGTCCTTACCCGTCGTCAGTAAGCTACCCGTTGATAGATTTAGGTAAAAAAAAACACTTAATTTCTATGGGTAGCTTAGCATTGTATTCATACAAGATTCTTGTTGAGATCTTTCAATACCTTAAAACCAGCACAGACGTGAACGGAAATTAATAAAGCAGAAATGAGCTTTAAGTTATTGTGTACTGCAGTAGGACAATAAGATAGGTAGGCCTACATGCTGAGTTGTAGCATTTCACCTTAGAGGGAAAACTATAGGTTTTTTTTTCGTAATGGACCTAGCCCACTAAGTTACATAGGCGATAAATGTGTATTTTCCTTTATTTATTCAAGTTGGATTCAAATCACTAAAACATACAATAAAGGGAGCAAGGGCCATAAAGCGGGTTGAAATTATATGCCTAGCAAGTAGGCCTGTAGCCCGTGTTTAAGACCCAATAAATAATTGAACTTAAGGAGTGAAATTATTACTAATGTAAATTATAAGATTAATTCAGTAAATAAAACAATCAAATCAAAAATTATTTTAAATTTATCATCACACGGACTTCATAAAAATTTTACTTACATTAGACTAAAAACAATCCAAAATCTAAGTACACAAAATTGCTAGTCACTCACTCAAGGAGGTTAAATTTTTTTCTAGATTTCAATTCAATGTAGCCTGACTAATGTGACAGATGGGTAAACTTAAATTTTAACCATGCAACTGCGAGATCTAACTTATTACAAAATATATATCCCCCTTCTACCATGATATGTCCCTTTTGATTGCCTTATGAACATATCGTAGATTATACTTCTTACCCTTCTATCATGCTTTTTACCGGCTATTTGCTATTTTAAGTAGCATTATGTAATTTTATTGTTATTTGTGTAGCTATTATAGCTGCACACGACAGAAATTACTTGCTGTATTACTTGCAGTCGTAATATCTTTAAGTGTTGCCAACTTATTTTCAAGCATACATTATGTTGTTTTATTGTTATTTGTGTAGCTATTATAGCTGCCTGTATTGTCTAGAAAAAACATGCTGTTTTGTGTTGTTTTGTTGGAACACTGTGCCACAAAGTAAAAAGTTGGGTGGGGGTTGGGGCCCCACCCGGAAAAATGTTTAATTTAAAGCATAAAAACGTATTTTTATACATATTTCATCTCTACAATATGCTCAACCTTATAGTATTTATGTTAGCTAATAAAATATAAAATATTTGGGGGGGATATCCCTCCCATCCAATAATCTCTGGGACGGCCAGTAGTGGCTGGAATATAACCCCTACAGGACAAAGTTTATACATAGCGCTAAAATAAGTAGATTTCATATTACATACTCCACTACTGCTTACTACTGTTACACTCGCTCATCACAGCAAGGAACTAGGCTGGTTTATTCTCAAGATAATGTAAATTTATTTCATTAGAACTTTTCAAAAATAACGCTTATCTTTCCTTTATAACAAGTCTCATAAAATCAACCAAATAAGTTTGTATATGTTTTCTTCAGAATTCAACAATATTATACTTTATAATGAAATAGCAACCATACAAAGTAGGTATTTTAAGCCAAGTATGAATGGAGATGAGTGTAGGATGAGTGACACGATCTTGTAGTCTTGTTAGTGACTAAGGCCTGGCCTACATTCCTTAGACACAGCTGCTAATTAATAGTCCATACAGCTATTAATGGCAACTAAGGGGCCTACAGTTTATAGTGGAATCCGAACCACATTTTTGCCTTGGTATATACGAATTGGTCTAATTATCAGGATAGTACTGCGGATAGTCCTAGTACTCACTCGTTTGGACGTTAATTCACACCAGTGAGTATCGCATCCACAGTGCATGCCTATAAATATCCACAATTCGTGACCTCCTAGTAGCTGGATTACAGGACGACGCCACCCGTCCCAGTCTATACCGTATTTTATACGTGAAATTTACACAACATTTAAGACAAGTTTGATCTCTGATAATCTTTTTACAATCAAACTTTTTATTCTTTATAACCAATCCCTTCAGGTGTTCCCTATGCAGTGGTGTAGTGGGGCGAGAACTTTGCTTTCTGCTTTTTCCAACAAACCTAAGAAATGGTAAGTGTCCGATGTGTTATGACAGATATATTCACCACCTATTTTTATCTAAACTACCTGTAACCAATTATTCCAAACTATTCACGCAAATGGTAGCATAGGCTTTTGTAGACACTGAAATGAATGTTCAAAAGTTCAGGACCTACTTAATAACCAAAGTATTAGTTTCTTTTTTACTCAGGGAGTTCCGGAGTTGGCTAAATAAAAATTAAACTGAAAAAAATAAATGTACTCAGTTTTTAAAACTAATTCATTTATTTTTTTATGTTATACAAAATAGCACATATAGACATAAATTAAACCAAACATATATTTGTACAAAATATACAGGTCTAAATTAGAGTGTACTTGTGGCAAACTGATGATTATTAAAATACGGCAAGAAAATATATACTAGGCCTATCTACAAATAAATATTTTAAACATTTACTATACTTTTGTACTTAAAACTTACAATACATATTCCTGAAACCATTCAAATTAAACTAAATATATATTTATTTAGGAGAACATATTACAGCCAACTAATTTGTTATTGAGGAATATTGATCAACAAATGAATCAGATTCCATATTTAACACTAAATACTTTGACAAGAAAGGATACGAAACATAATATATACTATCCGATAGTTATTGATACATGCGCAGTCTAGTTGTCTTAGTACTCTGGTACAATATATTTCACATTTTATAGAGTAGACATTACAAGTTTCCACAATTTTATGGGAAACTTCATAATAATCATAACTGTTACAGGGATTACGACCATGTCACGTTTGGATGGAGGTAAATGGACGTTGAGATTGGTCAGGTGTGATACTTGACAATCGGTCTTGCTCCTTTCCACCGCTCAAGCTGAAACATAATATAGACTATATCAAATTTCATAACAATACAAATATTTAATCGTAAAATAATGACCAAACTAAATGGGGCTAATATCTCATAACATCTGGTTGATTTTTAGGGAGTGGAGTATAGACACCCCACCTATGTAGACCAGATGTAGCATTTTATTTAAATAACATAATTGAATGAACTTTTACAGATAATCTCGCATGTAAGAACATTTCAGGAAAATGGTACATGTCATAGTCATAGTCAAATTTCTTCATTTATCTTGTATATACATACATAAATAGTGTCACAATAAAGTAAAATAATTATAATCTTATGGTAAACTACATCAAAACTCTCTCAAAGCTATTTAAAAAATAATTGAAATAATTCATTAATCAACTTACTAGATTTAACTTATTGAAAAAAAACAATACTTAAAAATTTGTATATGCTAAGTTAAATTACATGAAGTATATACATTTACATGTATTTTGGCTTCTTTTACTACTGGCAAAGACTTAAACACCACTGGGACAGACCTGGAAACTTTTACTGGTGCCTGCAGGTCTGCTAGTGGCATGCAGATGATGTTGCATATATTATGTATATTTTGTCCAAAACGTGGTGTTGTAATTTTGATTCATACAAATTACAAATATGTGTTTAGTAATATTGGGGGATATGGAATAAATACACAGATTTTTATGCATCTCAATAAGTGGGTTTCATGAGGAAAAAAACACGGTTTTTGACTGATGTGGTTACAGTTAAGGAATCCTACAGCTTTCAATCATTTCTCTCACCCTACTTTTGTCAAGTTTTGGAGCAAATCACCATAAGTGAGAGGTCACACATCACACTGAACTCCAATTCACTTAAACATTCACACAAACACGTAGTAGAGTAAATATTTTTTTGGTCCTAAGACGCTAGGCACAAGCCCCGGATTGTTTTTCACATTACTTCAGTCTAGACCTAGGAGTTGCGGCATTATCACTTAGATAAAATCCATTGGTTATTTGGCAGGATTTGAACCCGGGACCTCAGGGACTGAAGTCCCGTGCTTTAACCACTAGACCAGCTTGCTCCCCAATAGAGCAAATATTAGGTTGAATATACATTTAAACAATGGACACATAGATTTAAAAAAAAATATGGAAATATACTTCAGAGATTAAGCGTATGGTTAGGACGTAAAACATCTGCCAAATTACCTGTAGTTTACATGTCGATGGGTAAAACTGACTGTGTGAACATTTGAGACACTTCCAACAATAGTTTCCAAGACTCCGTTGTAAATTAGCAAATCATCTACCAGGATCTGTAATATAGAAGCTGATTAACAAACAGTAATACAATTAGTGACCGTTATTTACAGTTTCTTTATAAAAGATCATACTTAGATAATAAAACTACTAGACAGTTGATAGTTGAAGTGACATCTTTTTCTTATTCATATGAATTTTTAAATATTAGTACTTTTTCCAGAAAAATCTGAAAAGAAACTGTTTACAAATTTTAGTGCTATGGCGATTGTATTAGACCGGACAAGAATAAAAAGTTATCTGTTATAGCTTTTGTATTTTCATTGAAGTTCATCATAATCGGTACCTATCTAATGTAATTCAAGCAAATATTACTGAAAAAAGAGGTTTTTTTTCATGAATAGGCTTCCACCATCACACCCAGTAGATTCGTGGTATTTGGGAGAGGACTGTGTGAAAATTTATAAAACACCTCAGTTTACCAACGTTTCGGTATCAACTTAGAAGTTCTTGTTATACGTCAACTGTTCAAAAGTCAAGCCCTCCTGAAGGACTATATCACTCTATATCAAGACCAAACAGAAGTGTTTCATCGATTTTGACAAGGTCTTTGTGCAAAGACCATAAATCCACCGAGAGGACTTTTGTTTAACCAAGTGTATAGTGACTACCCCAAACTCCTTGACTCCACGAGATGGCGTCTTAGTGTAGTTCCAAATTTTGATGACAGACACTGCTACAGGACTGTCAAACACAATGTACACTCTGTTCAGCTGAAACAAACCACCAAACTTGTCAATAACTTGAGTAGATTCAAATACCATTATAATTTCTTTTAATCTTTGACTATCACTATTGATACAACTAAAGATTCCCTCCCCATATTAATGTTGTCACCAGTTTTTTTTTAAATCAAAAGCACCTTAGATGATGTGAGCCATCTAAATTACTAAATTTATGTCAAGTACACAATCCTTTTTACCAAGTCAAACTCAAAACTCAAAGACAAAAAGTCAATGGAATGACTTTTTGCGAGCGATAGCAGCTGTTATTCGACCAATCAAGTTGATCAGTAACACAAAAATATAGTAGAAAATAGAATGTAGATACTAGCACATTCTGTGACACAAGCTCACACAACTATGACCTTTTTTGATACAAATTGGCGACAGCTGGTCTATATAGATGGGACGTTCAATTCAGTAAATCCTATAGTCAATGATACAGGTATTCTTGTCGTCAATCTACTATTTATTACTATAGACTAACCTACAAAAGTCAACTTTTCATCACATTGTAAATGTTTAAGCTCGTTTTTTGTGTTTAGTTCATGTCCAGTGACACTGATTGCTAGTGTCGGCGAAATTTTTCTTTCTATTATTTTAGGGTTAATTTAATAATTTGTGCGTTACTGTATGGTTATATAACTAGCGGAGTTATTGTTTGTGATTAGATTGTTTTATCTGGTTAAACGAGGTTTTAAACAACTTTAATAACAAGAAACAAATTGTAAACAAAAAAAAACAGCCTCTACAGTGAACCAAAATACAATTTTCTAAAGCGTCAAAGACACACGTCGTCTCGTCACAAGATACATTTTAAAGCTGGGTTTTCCTAGGCGGGGAGAGAGGAATGCGGAGAGCGGACCTCTCTTGTCTTAGGTAATTTAATGTTACTGTTTTCCTAGAAGCGGAGCGGAATGCCATGTTAATCGGTTTCCCGCTCTCCCCCCCTCCACGCTCAACTTCCGCGTCTAAGAAACCCGGCTTTATACTTTTTATTTAAATAGTGATACATCAACCTTAAATACCAGGGCAAAATTTAGTTGACATGACCTAGCCACATGGCTAGCCAATTGAAAAGATGATGTCTAGACACCGAACTTAATGGATAGAAGGTTAGCCAGACGTTAGATCAATATTACAAAAGTTGTAAAAAAAACCAAGTACACACACATTTTTTTCAAAAAATAAGCTGTAAGCTTCATTGTTAGAACCGTGCTTGGTGCAATCTGTCTTAGCAAATAATATATTACTTACCTGTCCAGGCAGTATGGGTGCGAGCCAAGCATGTCTGCCGTCGCTGGAGTTGTTGACACCATCGATCAGTTTATCAACCGTCCTCACGTCGTTCTCCATTCCATCCAACTCTCTCACACTTGCCGGATGAGCACTGATATCTAACAAAGTGTGACTAATTTAGGCGTACATATGACTTTTAATGTCACAGTCCAATAATTCAACTAATCTATATTACAACTTGATAGGATTAAATACAAAACAACTTGTCAATAGACTTTTCCACAAACGGTCTAATGTACCAAGTTGCAAGAAATGACCCAACAGAAGAACCTCGATAGTTCAACACTTTGTGGATAAGGGGGTATCGAACTATCTAACGATAGAAAGTCAAAGTATATTGGACATTTTCACACAGCGAGGATTTAAAACAAATTTAATGAATTGTATAACACTTTACAAAAAATAAACATACCTATCAACTTGCAACTCTACTGTACATTCTTTGACACCTAACTGTATAAAATAGTTCGTAATGTTTAACTCCTTTTCACTTTGGATGTTAGAAAAAAATTTAAATTAATGGGATAGGCGGGATAGGCCTAGTTACAGCATTGAGTTTTTGAGTTCACAAAAACAATTGTGAAGGTCTAGTTTTTGACTTCAGCGTATCCGGCATTGGCCGTTGCCAACACAACATCTCAGCTTGTGTCAAACTATACGGTGCACCTATCGAGGGTAAAACTACTGTTTAAACTAACAATCCTAGTGTAAACGTCATTTAAAGCTTGGTACTAATATAGGGAAAAATTGCAGGGATGATTATTACGGCGAAGTCAAACAATATATAAATTTAAAAACAACGCTGTAGTTTTGGATAGGGCAACAGTGACACAAATTTCTTAGAGAAAATATAAACTATACATTATAGTCTGCCATAAAAAACTGTGTTTTACTCACTAGAAGGCGTGAGAGTGATGACATTGCCAGCAGCATTATACATCTGTAGACCATTGAGACCAATGTAGTAGAGATCTCCCCAGGTAGACAACAACTGTAGTTGGAACACAAAGCCCTGTGGCAACTCTGGGGGCTCATAGTCCAGTGTCAGACCTACTGTAGACATATATAGAATTATACATCTGTAGATCATTGAGACCAATGTAGTAGAGATCTCCCCAGGTAGACAGCAACTGTAGTTGGAACACAAAGCCCTGTGGAAACTCTGGGGGCTCATAGTCCAGTGTCAGACCTACTGTAGACATATACAGCATTATACATCTGTAGACCATTGAGACCAATGTAGTAGAGATCTTTCCAGGTAGACAACAACTGTAGTTGGAACACAAAGCCCTGTGGCAACTCTGGGAGCTCATAGTCCAGTGTCAGACCTAATGTAGACATATACAGCATTATACATCTGTAGACCATTGAGACCAATGTAGTAGAGATCTCCCCAGGTAGACAGCAACTGTAGTTGGAACACAAAGCCCTGTGGCAACTCTGGGGGCTCATAGTCCAGTGTCAGACCTACTGTAGACATATACAGCATTATACATCTGTAGACCATTGAGACCAATGTAGTAGATATCTCCCCAGGTAGACAGCAACTGTAGTTGGAACACAAAGCCCTCTGGCAACTCTGGGGGCTCATAGTCCAGTGTCAGACCTACTGTAGACATATACAGCATTATACATCTGTAGACCATTGAGACCAATGTAGTAGAGATCTCCCCAGGTAGACAACAACTGTAGTTGGAACACAAAGCCCTGTGGCAACTCTGGGGGCTCATAGTCCAGTGTCAGACCTACTGTAGACATATACAGCATTATACATCTGTAGACCATTGAGACCAATGTAGTAGAGATCTTTCCAGGTAGACAACAACTGTAGTTGGAACACAAAGCCCTGTGGCAACTCTGGGGGCTCATAGTCCAGTGTCAGACCTACTGTAGACATATACAGCATTATACATCTGTAGACCATTGAGACCAATGTAGTAGAGATCTCCCCAGGTAGACAACAACTGTAGTTGGAACACAAAGCCCTGTGGCAACTCTGGGGGCTCATAGTCCAGTGTCAGACCTACTGTAGACATATACAGCATTATACATCTGTAGACCATTGAGACCAATGTAGTAGAGATCTCCCCAGGTAGACAACAACTGTAGTTGGAACACAAAGCCCTGTGGCAACTCTGGGGGCTCATAGTCCAGTGTCAGACCTACTGTAGACATATACAGCATTATACATCTGTAGACCATTGAGACCAATGTAGTAGAGATCTTTCCAGGTAGACAACAACTGTAGTTGGAACACAAAGCCCTGTGGCAACTCTGGGGGCTCATAGTCCAGTGTCAGACCTACTGTAGACATATACAGCATTATACATCTGTAGACCATTGAGACCAATGTAGTAGAGATCTCCCCAGGTAGACAACAACTGTAATTGGAACACAAAGCCCTGTGGCAACCCTGGGAGCTCATAGTCCAGTGTCAGACCTACTGTAGACATATACAGCATTATACATCTGTAGACCATTGAGACCAATGTAGTAGAGATCTCTCCAGGTTTTAGACAACAACTGTAGTTGGAACACAAAGCCCTGTGGAAACTCTGGGGGCTCATAGTCCAGTGTCAGACCTACTGTAGACATATACAGCATTATACATCTGTAGACCATTGAGACCAATGTAGTAGAGATCTCCCCAGGTAGACAACAACTGTAATTGGAACACAAAGCCCTGTGGCAACCCTGGGAGCTCATAGTCCAGTGTCAGACCTACTGTAGACATATACAGCATTATACATCTGTAGACCATTGATTGACAGCAACTGTAATTGGAACACAAAGCCCTGTGGCAACTCTGGGGGCTCATAGTACAGTGTCAGACCTACTGTAGACATATATATAGAATTATACATTTGTACATCTGACAGTTGATAACGCACAAGCAATCCACAATACAAATAGCCTGATGTTTTGATTCTACAAGGGGGAAGTAAGTTGTGTTGTTTATTGTTCTGTTTTTGATAGTAACTCCATGGAACTCTTTTTCCGGGTAAGTTAAAGTTGTGTATAAAAATTATTCTTTTTTAATTTTCAATAGTCATTGTAATGTCTTTGGAAATAAATTGTATATATTCTGTTTACCTGCCATTGGCAATTGGTTCATTTGTCTTAAATATCTTTTAACAAATCCCTGTAACTACAACTACTTCAAATGACCATTTGAAAATTGGTTAGAGTACAGCTAGCTTACTTGCAAAGTTAGAGTCCATGGACTAAAGTCTTATCCTTTGATGTACAAATTTTATTGTGTATTATCTACTAGCTCATAGACCCTGGTATTCTTGGGTAAGCTAGCTAAACTTCTCAAGCTCACTGCTTTAAATAGTAACTAACATCGAAAGAAAACTTACACGAAATTGACATTACAGTAACTATATTTTTAAGAGGTTGCAGTAATTTTGTAACATTCCGTTGTCCAAGAGACATAGTGTCATAACAGCAAAATGGCAACTTTTCAGGAGAGCAAGTAAAAGAAATTAACTTAAATTGCTCGGTAATTACGTATATTACTTAGAAATGCAAACATTACTTAGAAACCACTCCTGACTCAAAATCACCAAATTGGGCAGTTACGACACTACGTTTCTTGAACAACGATTTATATAGCTACTCCAAAACAGGTACTGAAAATATTATGCAAAATCTATTCTTTAAAATAATCATTCTATATGCCTACCTCTAGGTGACAACTCAAGATTATCGATGATGTCGAGAGAGGACTCACACCTAGACGCCACAAGAGGTAGGACCTGTGCTAGTCTGTGATGGCGATGACCCGGAGACTTACGAAGTGTGAACATCAACGGCTCAGAGTTGTCAAGGCGGACCAATAGTCTCTTCACCTGTTTGTAATACAATAAACTGTCAAGAAATAACAAAAAAAAAAAAAAATTAAAAACATTAATTTTAAACAAATTTGCTATGCAGATAATAGGTGGATAAATGACTGGAGTAACAAAAACTATTTGCAATGGAACTGTAATTATTAAATAACAGGTAATCAAACTGTTGAATGAATTTAAACTAAACTTGATGAAGGTTAATTTTTTAATCAAGACATTGATAATACTTTCTCATTAGCTTATCAAACTTTACTTCCAAGAACATCTTAACAACGTAGGCCTATCCAGATTCCAAGCTCATCAAATAAAATGCCTTTCATTTTACTCAGTAATTTAATATATGACGACAAATTTTCTCGGCTATGAGAGCAATAAAACCATGGGCAGAACATTTTCACTTACACCGCAGTAGGACGTATCAGCCGAATGGTTGTAGTTCCACACCAGGATGGCGCAGATGTGGAGGGGCGAAGGGAGAGAGAGCCGTAGCGAGGGGGGAGGGGTGGAGGGGCAAGACCACATGTGGGACGAGTCTGTCGTGTCGTTAACTCCGTCTAGCAGCCTGCGGAGAGATAAGAGTAAAGTAACAGTGGAAAATTGTTTAGTAACGTCTGCTGGTTAGAGGAGTCAAAGTCAAAATCCCATCAACTAAAAAAAAATTTCTCCGCCTCAGCAAACCTGCAGACTTAACAAATTTCATTTGTCTGATTGGATTTGTAATATATAACAAATCTCCAGATTTATTTGTTTGAATAACATTTGGTTTAATTAGTACTTAGATTTGCTGCTATAAAAAGGTAATAAAATTGTTTCCATTAAAATGTTAGTACTGTGGCCTAATGTGAGATAAATAAATGTACCAAACTTAATCAAAATATCAAACAAGCAAACCACAACATTTTATTATTTATTCTCCATAGGAAAACATGTGAATTAATGTATTTTTTTTTTCATTCTCTCTGTAACTATCAAGTGTACACATCACTTTAGCATACTAAATTAATTTATTTTATGATCTACAAAGTGGTAAAAAAATAAATACGAAATTTGATGATTTATTAATCAAAAAGGGAGAAACCCCATGAAATCCTGTTCCCATTATCTGATGCTAATTCACAAACTCATTTGAATAAACGTAGGTTTACACGTTAACAATTTCATCAGACTAGTTAAATTAAATTTTATCTCCAGTTATTATACATTAGTTGGACACTCATATACAAACATATCCATTTGAAAAAATTGTGTTTTTAGTCTCTAGGGATATCAAAACTAAATCGGTCCCGGATCTATAGTCTACCATCACCTGTGGCAATAGCTTCTTCTCTGTAGGAGAAATTCACTAAAATTATGGTTCATTTTGAAACCCAGTATGTATTATACTGAGCTCATTGGGATCATTATTTGCCTAGTAATTGAGCTACACAGATCACCTCACTCCATATTCATATTCATTCTACAATTTTTACTTATATTTATGTTTTTAAAACTCACCTGTGTATATGTGCGTTGGCAGGGCTGTGAGAACATGTTATTTTGGCAACACTCACTGGTTCTCCAGTCTCTCCTAGGACCTGAAATTATAAAAACTGTTGTAGCAGAGCTGAGACTGTTAAACAATGTGCACACAGGTAAAATAATCCTAATACTGTAATAGAATCCTTCCTTTGTTCGTAATGTATGTGGACATCATACATCTTTAGATGGATTTCAAACCATCGGATCATGGTATTGCCACAAAACCATTGACAATTACCGTAGCTGTCTCAACATAATTTGAGGCAGACTAACTGACCAGAGGGTAGAGCAGGACAATGGCTAGGCCAACCCTTCGATGGACCCTCCCGACCCTTGGGGCATATCCCATTAACCACGCATCACTGTATACTCCACTTAAAAGAGTAAACATATAATAAATTTGTTATGTCAGAAAATAATGTATTCTAGGTTATCACAAAACAAAATTGTTCACGTTCGTTCCATGTAAATTAAGTTTGGCTTGTTGTCCATTGTTGTATTTAGTGCTAAGAAGTTATTTTTGTACACTTATTTGTAAATAAAAGCACTTTTTCATTCATTCATTCCATGTAAATCAGCCGACTTGGTCGGGAGGGTAAGATCTAAAATTAGGTTTCAAATTCATATTCACTGACTGGTACACACCAGTGTTGTTAATTTTTGCTGTCCCAGACTGCATTAAATTCCAGATACAGTAGTTTATACGTCTAGTACCTAATTTTAGTATGGAGAATATCCACAAACAATATGTATACAATATTAACTCAGAATCACCACATATGGTCTTCTTACAAACTATTTCAAGTAATTTTTATATATTTTCTCTTTGTCGAAAATCATACTTATAGTGATTTTAAAGCAAATATCAACAGGCAATACCACTTATCCATCTTGAATATAAACAACAGTGAAAACTACAGTAATTGTTTATGTAATCCATCATGCAGATGTCAATAAAATCACCTCTTAATAATGAGTATGTAGGACAAGTTCAAATTTTAAAACTCTTCAGGAACAAACCTTCCACTGTTGATTTAAAAAATTGAATTTATAATGTGTGATTACCTGTACACCAGTCAGGCCCACAAGGCCGTTGTAACCCCAGTTTTCTACCAATGAGAGTGTGAGCGACCTCCGACACATCACTGATCCCGTAGTCAGCGTACTTCCGGCCGGAGCACAGGTGAGGGGCCGTACATCCTGCGGAAAATATCATAAAAGTACAATACATGCTATTAGAGACAAACTTTCCACTGTGCTAGATATTCCATTTTTAGTTTAATTCAGCCTCCAACAGAGTAGGATCTACAGTTGTCAATTAGACCTACTGCTTTGTCGTACACACCTACTTTTTAACCAAACTAAACTAAAGGACAACTCACTATGAACTACAGCATCTTTCATTTCAACTACCACAATGTCGAAAAAATAAGAGAAAAAAATTATGTTGACGGAAGCTTGTTCTATGAGTGGATCATTGATCTATTTTCACTTTGAATAAAAAAAACTAGCTCACAGTTATACCACTGTGCATTAGTGAAGTAAATCAAATATTACACAGTTTAAACCAGCAAACCAATTGTGTATTTAGCTGGTCCAAATAAACAAGATGCTTACCATGATAATTAATAACATCTACTGAATGTTTTTAAATACTTACACCCAGACTGGCTGTAAGAGGCCGTTCTGGCATCTTTGAAAACATCGGCTCGTGACTCGTGTCATTCAAGATGCTCTCAAACGCATCATCATGCTGAGACACCCGCTCCAAGATGTCTTCATCCGTTGTGAACAAGATTGTCTACAAGTGAAGGGAAATTTATTAAATATTAAGTCCGAAAGACCAAACCAAGATCAAATCACTGGACTGAAGGCTTGGCATTGAAGGCCTTAATGGCACTAAAAATGTTTAAAAATCAAATAAGTTTAAAACTGACAGAAATCCTGTTGATAAGAGGTGTGGCATACGTAACACCTTTAAAGCAGGTTAGCCATTAGAAAAATCAATTTGTATTATGAGGTATCCATTGAAGAAGAAGCTAGAATAAACTTCTTAGGCTTGCATGAAAAATGTCAATGAGTAACTATAAAATCAAAGGAAAAAAGCAATTTTAATCAATGTTTTTATCCAAGGGACTACTTAAGTTTTAAAATCATTCCCCAAGTAAGGGCAGAAAAGCCAGGGAAATTAATTTTGTTTAAAGTCTACTCTATCTAACTAGTTTATTTGCATGTATATACTACAGAAGTATGATTTCAGCCAAACTTACATCTCCAAATGCATCAGTGCTCCCAAGGATTCCGCCGCATGCCCGAGCAACTTCTCCTTGAAATATAAGCTGACCGTCTAGTACGACTGTCATGTCCTTGGCACCACGATATGAGTGGATGCGCGATTTGTTGTAGTTCTATGGGCACATTGTTATACATGAGCCATACTACACAATGAATTCAACATTGTTATATTCAGTCTAGTACAAATCAGACCATTTTTTATAGTTCTTAGGCCTATATCAGACATTAGTGATATAGCCTATGAAAAAATATGAGTAAAAGGTTTATGATAGGCTATATTGTTTTTGAAGATGTTGCATCAAATTGGTTCTGTTGAGTCATTGTAGCTCGACCCAAAGGTTAAACTTTTCAACGCATACGAAGCATCACCCAATATTTTTATTTTTTTTTAATTCATTGTGTAGCACCTGAAATGTTCAATTAGAGTATTATAGGTCAACCTATAAAGGTATACCTTACGTAAACATGTTTTGCCTATTCAGGCATTGTCAAGTACCTAATCATTACAAGAATGTGTCATCCAAATTAGATTAGTCAAATACAATCAAATAAATGCACATTACACATGCACGAACAGACTTTTAAACATTTAGAGTAAGCTTATTTATCCAAATATTTTATCCAAATATTTATCCAAATATTTTTCTCACTTCAACTTGAGAATAATTTTGGCCAAGCTTCTGATGCCTTGCAGAAGTCCATCTTTGGGTCAAGCTACAATTCAACTGAACCAATTTCATTCAACAAAAAAGACCAACTGAATATTACAGTTATCTTTTAAAGAAAAAGGTTAGACAGGTCTACACCATCATGATTGTTTTATCCTCTACTACAGGGGCAAAGCATTTGTTGGTGTCTCTTAGACTGATGGTTTATAGAGCATTCATTATTAGTGAATTTAATGACAAAAGTTGTTCTGAAAAGCTGGCGTACCAGATAAACGCTTTACGAAGACATTTTTTATTCATTATTTGTTACAAAGTGTGTTCCTCACCCAGATCCGCAGCATGGCCAGTGTCTCGCGTTGCTGGAAGGTGATGGTGATGCGGTGGTGTTTGCCTTCAGTGAACGGAGTGAGCCACAAGTGCATGTCGTCTCTCGTCCTATTTACCCGGTCAAGCAGGTTGGACACAACACGAGGGTCTTTATCGTACTCGGGCAGCACGTTGATGTCTGCCGGATCTGCTGTTATCTGCAAGTCATACGTCAACAAACTGTTAGCTAGTCACTGTTAGAGAGGAGGTTCTATACATTGGAAAAGTAATTTAATTGCACAATCAATTGGCCATACTATAAAAGAGATGTCTACCCCAATTATTATGTAGGTACTAAAACATTAGATTCATTCTCAATATGACAATTGTATCAACATCATATTTTCAACCTAGATAGTTTTTAAACTGGGTGCTTTCATTGATTTATAGTTTACAGTTTTGTAGGATATTATTGTGCTACGGTAGTAAATCAAGTAGTTTTCTTATGGCTGTTGTTTTATTTTCAGTCTATTAAAACCTTGTAATGGGACTTCCATTTATGGGTCAATTTGCCATTGTTGTTGTTAGTCTAAGATATTGTTCTAACATGACTCTGTCAACAACTAAATAAAATATAGTAACAAGACTAGGGTTATAACCCTCCCCATTCAAAATACATAAAAAATGCCACTGGCAATAAAATTACAAGTATTTACTATATGTTTGTACGAATATACGGAATATAAACTTAAATTCACCCCCATTTTTTATTTTATTTTGTGTGTCTTTACGCCAGTGGAATTTTTTACGTTTTAGAAAAGGAACACGGTCCAAACCCTGGTCTTGTTACAATCTCACGTTGACTATTTTGTTAGATGGCATCATTAATAATCAATAATTCAATCTGGGTCTGGAAACGATCTCGCTTGGTTTCCAACCAGCGACCTCCAGATTTATAACCACTCAGCTACCCAGAAACTTATTATGGATTTTGAACATATTATTAAGATGCTAGTCAGTCTGTAAAATAATTAAAATTTGAGGTCTATGTGTAATGGCAGTAATTGAAGTTCATTAACCTTCAGATTTGAATTTCGCTGGTTAAATGCCAAGAAATAAAAATACTAAGGTTCTTGAATCAAATGCCATTGCCATTGAGCAATCAATTAATTAATGAGTTGTAACAAAAGCTCAACATTAGATATTATACTAACAAGACAAAGATTTGGACTGTTCGCTAAGGAACATGTCACTAACAAGACTACAAGATCGCGCCACTCATCCTTCACTCATATTTGGGTTAAAATACGCACATAGTGGCGTCCCCATCTTAAATAATTGATAATTGATAATCGGTCTAAATATCAGGATAGTACTGCGGATAGTCGTAGTACTCACTCGTGTGGACGTTAATCCACACCAGGGAGTAGAGTATCACATCCACAGTTACATTTACATATTTGACATTTACATTTACATTTACAGTTACATTTGACACCTGCACATCCAAATGTGCCTTTTTACTTTGGTAAACGAGATTACATAGGCCACCAATCTTCCAGTTTCCAGATAAATAATTAGCCTACCTTTTACTAGTCAATAACGCATGTAGTATGTACTGCACACATACCTCATAAAATATTATTTGTACCTGAGCTACTCGTGCCAACCGACCGCTCACAGTAAACATCTCCAGTCCGTTGAGTCCAACGTAATGTCTGTCGCCCCATGTAGAGGTTATGTCCAGCTCAAGTCTGGTGCCTGAGGGAAGCTCCGGAATCACAAAGCTGGCCGGAGGTGGAAAAGACACTTTGGGTATTACTACGGGACTTCTGTCCGGGTGTACCTCAGAGAGCTCACCTTGGATCAACAAGTCTTCTGCAACTGTCCACACATTTGTTAACATTTAGCAACATTAAGGCGATTATATGTTAAAAAGTAAAGAAATATCCCATCTAAAATTCAAAAATGGATACTAAATTAGGGAAAAGTGGTAACGCAGCAAACCTACGGACTAAATAAAATTCCATTTGCCTGGATTGATTTTAAATTAATCTATTAAATTAACATTTATGTTTAACGAGCACCAAGGTTTGCTTCTACAGCAAAACTAATAAGGTGTGTTTTTTATTAAAATATTAATAGCTTAGTATAAAATAAATCAATCTGCCAAGTTTGATCAAAATATATCCATAAACAAGCCAACTATAGACATCCCAAGAACAAAACGGATTTTGAAAGTAATAATTTATTTTACAATAAACATTTTTGGTTTCCGAAAAAACTTAAGCACAGTTTCTGCTCTTACTCAGTTTGTTAATGAGATTGCAGAGGCCTTGGACAGGTCTCAGGCCACAGTAGGTGTTTTCTGTGACCTGTCTAAGGCTTTTGATTGTGTGGATCACTCACTCCTGTTGCTAAAACTTATTGATTATGGGATTGGGGGAAGTTGCTTTTCTTTAATGCAATCTTACCTTTCTGAAAGAAAACAAAGAACTTTAATTTTAGAGGATAACAACAAACATTATTCACCATGGGAAATTATATCCACAGGTGTTCCCCAAGGCTCAGTATTGGGCCCACTTTTTTTTCTTATTTACATTAATGATCTTCCAAAAGCTATTAATAAAGAACTAATTCTTTTTGCCGATGACACTACTGCTTTGATCAAAAATAATAATACAGCTGAAATGTTTTCTTCTCTGCAAAGTGTGGTAAAGGACATGGAGCAATGGTTTTTAGAAAATGGGTTAAAACTTAATGTTGAAAAAACAAATATTATTAAATTTTCTACTAGACACAAAAATATGGAAAACTGTTCCTTTAATTTAGTTGAAGCTCATAAATTCTTAGGGGTTTACGTAGATGACGCAGTTAAATGGGATTGACATTTGAATTATTTACGTAACAAAATTAGGTCGATATCATCTTTATTCATACATTTAAGGGACCGTGTTTCTATTGAGTCACTTAAAGTAGTTTATCATGCTTATGTGGAGTCAGTGTTAAGATATGGCATAATTTTATGGGGTCAAGCTACTGGTATTAAAACTTTATTCATGTTACAAAAACGTATTATTCGTATTATTACCAACTCTCATCCACGCAGTTCTTGTAAGAAACATTTTCAAAATTTAAGAATTCATACATTAACGGGGTTGTATATTCTAGAATTATTAAATTACATACATTCAGTTAAAAATGAGCTACCAGAAACAATACATTTTAATCACAGGTATGAAACCCGAAATGAAAATATATTTAGACTCCCCAGACACCGTTTGACCCTATATGAAAAATCTCCATTGTACGCTGGGCTGAGATTGTATAATGTGCTTCCGCCATGCTATAAGTCATTAAGCAAAACCAAATTTAAAGATACAATAGATCATTTTCTTATTGACAAGGCTTTTTACTTAATTGAAGATTTTTACAGAACTACAATTTAGACATTTTTTTTAAGTGTTTAATTTTAAGTTAAAGGTTTTAATGTTAAATATTTTATGTATGGATTTAATTTTGACAATGCACCTATTCTAAATTTTATGACATGTATGGAATGTTTTGTGCAAATAAAGTCTATGTCTATGTCTATGTCTAAAACAACCTACGCAGAAACGAAAAGATCACGTGGTTCGCGCCGGAAAGTGGGGCGTACCCTTCAAACCTGTGCGGCCCGAAATGGCCCAGGGTCTTTATTTGTTTCCGGTATGTCTATACAACATTTGACAATATAAGACGTTTCATCTCCAAAAAAATAACATAGGAATTTTAAATGAACAATTTTTAGAATTTTCTCCGTAACCAATAACTGTACAAAAACACTTTTATATACTAAATTATTTGTTTTTTTTTAATCTCTTTAAAAAGCTCTGGAGAAAAATTGATAAGTTTTGTGTTTTAAGGGTAAAAAATGAGAAAAAAACCCGTTCCCATGGTCCAATCATGCTGGTTGGTGAACTCATCCAAGTTAAAGCTGGGTTTACCTAGGCGCGGAAGCGGAGCGCGGAGAGAGGAACGTGGAGAGCAGACTCCTCTTGTCTTAGGTAATTTAATGTTACTGTTTTCCTAGAAGCGGAGCGGAACGCCATGTTATTTGCTTTTCCGCTCTCCGCCCTCCTCTCCCGCGTCTAGGAAAACCCGGCTTAAGAGGAGAAAAAGGATAAAGAAAGAGTAACCACACTCTTTTTTACCTTCTGGCCTCTGGGAGATTCTCCCACGATGTTTATGGTTGAAGAAGCTCAATGAACTCCAAGACTCTTCGAGCACATCATCGCTATGTCTCACCCTTGACTCTTGCCGGGAGAGCCTGCCTTTTAACCTTGGACTTGCCTGGATGATATCAGACAAGTCTGTCTCTTGGTTGTTGAACTGGATGTTGTTGGAACTAATGTCATCTGGGTTTATAACGCGGTTGTGTTCAATTCTTGGAGTTGTTAGTTGATGATTGTTGTCTCGATTATGATTTTGTGTAAGTGGAAGATCCCATGAATCCAATAGGTTTCTAGCGTCAGAGTCGGGAGAAGACAGTGGGGAATTGGCCGCAGCTCTGCGGCCATACCTAGCTGACCCTGGAAAAGGCACATAGCTTAAGACACAACCCCAAAGAAATTGGCAATTGAAGTTAAAATAAAACTAGCATTATCCTTTAACCAGGACACAGTGTTGTTTAACACTTTATGACATTAAATCTGTCCCATGAGGATTAATAATGTAGACTTATTGCATACTTCATAAGGTTTTAGGTTTTGTAATAAGCCTTGTAAATTATTTTTAAATGATACTGTAAGCTGGTAATTTAAAATTAACCGACCTATGTAACCCCTCTGGAGGTACGTACCATTAAAGTCAGTCAAATTAACTTTAACTTATAAGGTTAAAATTCTGTATTTGTTTTATTGAATTAAAGATTATTATTAAGCTGAACATTCATATTACTATAACCTACATAGACTAAAGTAAGTCACCTAAGTGAACCACACCCTTTTACCTGTGGATGTTAAATAAATTTCAGCTTACTACGTAGACTAAGTTAGAATAAAATTGAAATTGAAATCTTTAACTTAATTTCTTCAGCTATGAAACGCTCATGTGTAGGAACTGACATGAGATTTTTCTGAGAAGTTTGTCAAATAATGTCAAACTAAAATGTAAAATTTGATGGCTAACCTTCCCTTCTAGGCGAGACACAGACAGTATCATCTAGTTGAAGTGTGAGAAGTGACTTCTTCACTGGTGTAACATCTACTCGGCCAGGAGTAGTAATGGCTCGACGTTCCGAAACATCAATCCTCTCCCCATTGGCTCCAGGACGCCAGGACTGTGGTCTTGGCTTGGCTAGGCTCCTGCAAGTCAGATAAACAAAAAGAGTGATTAAATTATTATGCTTTGATAGCTTCCCTAAAATATTCATCTTAAACTTACAGTTAACTTTCCTTAACTGACAGTTGAAATTTTGTTAAGTTTTTGATGGTGTGTACCAAATAGATACTTGTATATTTTTTTACTGTAACGGTGGCTTATGACTCATTCAATATTAGGCCTAAACTTATAGTTAATCATGTTAATTAATTTAAAAACGTAAACAAAGAATTAATTATGACGAGTGTATGATGTAGGCTACAATGCCTACTTAAGTTTATGCAAGCAACAATTAAGAAAATTTTAGAACACTACTATAAAGCAGCAAAGCTATGCACTAAAAAAAATTCACTTTACTTACTTGGTCAGTTCTTCCAGCCATAAAGGAATCTTATTGACAGAATTTTGTTCCATAATATTGACAACATTAGACATAATATTCATCTGGTTTCAATTAGAGATTCTAAAAAACATTGTCTATCTAAGTAACTTAAAATATATGTGTTCAATAGTAAAAATATTTGTTGGATTAAAGTTTGTAAAAGTAAGTTTGTAAAAGCTGCTATAATGGTGTAGCAATGAATTGATTGCGTTCTTCTGTTAATTCTTTTGAAGCAAAACGACGCAACTTGACCGACTCCTTAAACTGTAATCATTCACATCAGAATTTTTAATCACTTGGATATCACGCAAACCCCCCATTTCAATATTTCACCTCACAAACTTGCAGTTTACTGTACTTGCAGACTTGCTTACTTCACTTGCACTATTCACTTCCACTTCCACTCCACACTCCACTCTTGTGTTCTGTTCTTGTGTTTATTTACGAATTTCCATGGCAACGACGAGACAGACACGGCCTTTTTTGGCGTAGCCAATATGATCGATAGAATGTGATAATGTAGTACCGTTGGATACCAGTTGGATACCTTAAGGATTTACAGTCAACGGTAGTACGAAGGCGCTGAGGGGCCCCCAACCAACTGTAATACTGTAATATTATATTACGTTACTAGTCCTGAAAATAAGTGTTTACCGGACGAGTGTGGTCGTTCCCGTGCGAGACGAAGTCGAGTACGGGATTACCATACGAGTCCGGTACACACATTTTGGACGAGTTAAGTACGATAGTTTACGCCATACTACTTAATCCGTACAAATCCTTATATATTTCCACCAACTAAAGGACTAATAATCACTAGTCAATGTTTTTGTTTATAACCACTAATTGCCACGAAAATACAGTATAATCAGCGGATTGGTGTCCGGTAAAACTCATTGCAGAACAGTATTACGCAATGAAACCCCTTTTGAATAAGCTGGTGGCAAACAGCTGTTTTCTGGACTAAATCCTTGCGTGGAAAGTTCATCAAAATAATGTAGTGTCGTAGTGTGGCGTACATATTTTTTACGCCACACTACATTATTTTGACGAACTTCCTACGCAAGTATTTAGTCCAGAAAACAGCTGTTTGCCGCCAGCTTATTCAAATGGGGTTTCATTCATTGAGATATAGATTATAACTGGAGTCACTACTCTCTGGTTAAACGTTAGAGAAAAACGTACCACTGTTTTGGCTGGTTTGTTTTTGGTGTTTCGTGTTGTTATGTTGGCCGTGTGATCGGTTGGTGGGATGCTGTCAAATAATTCCAATTCCAATTCATTCTAACCTAACCATGCTATTCATTTGGGGTTATGTTATCCGTTATTTCAAGGACTTGTATCAAAAACTTATTTAAGTTATTGCACGTTAAAACCTCTGTATTTAAAGTTATATTATAAATGGTTTTTGTTTGATAGTAAATAAATACTAACTTATTTACCTCTTTTCAAACTATGTGGTAAATATAGGCTAGTCAAGTTTCCTGGTTTGGAGATATTGGTTTAGGCCAATAGGCCGGGGACAGCTCACTTACTCTACAGATCATAGACTATACGAGCTTTGTAAATAATATTGAAGGTTCACTTGCACTACAGGCTCGTATACTATACGAGCCTATCGAAAATAAAAAATAAATGAAGAGGGTTCACTTACTCTACAAATCATTGTGCCTATGAGCCTCGTGTATTATATTTAAAAATACAGTAGGAAGGTTCGCTTACTCTACAGATCATAGTGACTATGAGCCAAGCTTACGAATTATTTGATAATTCAGGAATCGGCTCGTATAGTATACGAGCCAAAATAATGAATAATATAAATTATAGGAATAGGCTCGTATACTATACGAGCCTGCAGAAAAATATTAGATGGCTCACTTACTCTACAGTTCATTGGCACTATGATCCGTAGAGTAAGTGAACCCTCTTCAAAATATTAGATGGCTCACTTACTCTATGGCTCATTTAGCTACTCGTTGCGCGGTTTGCGTTCGTAAAACTCTAGGCGCTATGCCCGGCTTCGACTGCTGCGACTGCCTACATAAGTGTATTGCATCACCTCAATTATTTATTAAAACGAAATAAATATGTATGCACAAGTAAATTTATTACATTTTTGGACTGAATACTTTAAAAATGGAGGGAGCATGACTTTTATGTTTAACTAAATTAAACGTTATAGAATAAAACATATTTTGACTAATATCAGGTTATATAATACACACTTGTATGATCCAGATACAGAGCTACAGACAAAACCTGTGGTCCGATTTAGATTAAATTTGGTATCTGGCTTTATCCACGAGTCACTAATTTTTTAAGCACGGGTTGAGAAATAATGGCAAACATTTATAAAAACAATTCACCCGTTTAAAATATTTCTCAGTTACTGTGAGCTGCAAAATAAATTGTATACAAAAGCATTTGTGTACACAGAAAATATAGAGGACTAGATGTATACAGAAGATGTATAAAAAATACAATACGCACACAACTATCAACGTTTACTTATGTAAAATTAATGAATTTGTTGTATTGAGTATTTTTTACATTATGACGAAGCCTTAACAAAAAATATTTTTTTTTATGTTACTCTAAGGAGTTCTAGGGTGTTTAAATATATTGTATTTATCTTTTGTGGAAAATTCTGTCCACGATTTATGATTGCTAACAATTTAATACAAACATTTAAGTATCTGTACGTGAAGACTAAAAACACGAAACAAACTTTAAAGTGATAGAAAAGATTTGCTCAGGAGCTTGGCGTTTGATACTTTTTGGGGATAAATATAGCCTCTACTTCAAAGGTCTACAAGTTGGTTTCACACCAACATTTCATGCACTTATGAAATCTATATAATTAATACGCGAACACGAAGTTTGTCGGTTGAATCCTCCGCCATTTCTTAACCAATTTTATCCATTGACGTCTCATTGGAAAGAGCGTGTTGCGTAGATTTGCTAACTGGCCTAACATTTTTTTTAAAGTCCCTTGGCCTCTGCCCTAGTGGTTTTTTAAGTTCCCATGTTATCCTTAAGAAGAACATAATATTGTTTACATCAGCTGTATAATTTAATTGTGTTATTTGTTTTTCAATTCAACGAAACGCATTGGTTACATTTACTGATTTTGTGGAAATTAAATATTTATCCATATAAAGCCCAAAGTACCCATGAGCTTTTGAGAAAACTACAAGTCACACCCCTATAAACTATATACTTAAAATGTTCGTCATGACGAGAAAACTAGTGCAAAACTATCCATTATTTCATAAATACCTAAATGATAAAAAGAACTCAACTGTACTTATTTGTACATTAAATCAGGGGTGATTATTTGTTTGTACTACTGTATTCTGTTTTGTTCATTTCAGCTTAACTTAATCAATCAAATATTTATAAAGTCAAACTGGTTGAGTCCCGTGGGTAACAGCTAGTTATTTTAATTTACATTCGTACATATTACGAGTACAATGTAAAAAAATCGAGAAAGCCTGGACAATCTATATATATAATACGCTAAGCCGATTTTTGTGAACAGAACTCCTCCCTCATTTTTGGACCGATTTTGATGATTAAAATGTCAAAAGAATTGCCCTGATCTGTAGTTTTGCAAAGTGTTTTTCGTTTTTTGATATCTTTATTAGTTTGGGCAGGATCTTCCATCAAAGTTGGATTTTCTCCCATCTATATAATACGCTAAGCCGATTTTTGTGAACAGAACTCCTCCCTCATTTTTGGACCGATTTTGATGATTAAAATGTCAAAAGAATTGCCCTGATCTGTAGTTTTGCAAAGTGTTTTTCGTTTTTTGATATCTTTATTAGTTTGGGCAGGATCTTCCATCAAAGTTGGATTTTCTCCCATAAGATTAACATGGGGGAATCTAAAAATTTAATTGGAAACTTTGTCTTCACTAATTTGAGAGAACGGCTGGGCGTAGAAACTTGGTAGGGGTGTCAAAAGAAAGTTCTTGGTCTGTAGATGGGTTATCAAAAGAAAAACGAAGTAAATCTATATATATAATACGCTAAGCCGATTTTTGTGAACAGAACTCCTCCCTCATTTTTGGACCGATTTTGATGATTAAAATGTCAAAAGAATTGCCCTGATCTGTAGTTTTGCAAAGTGTTTTTCGTTTTTTGATATCTTTATTAGTTTGGGCAGGATCTTCCATCAAAGTTGGATTTTCTCCCATAAGATTAACATGGGGGAATCTAAAAATTTAATTGGAAACTTTGTCTTCACTAATTTGAGAGAACGGCTGGGCGTAGAAACTTGGTAGGGGTGTCAAAAGAAAGTTCTTGGTCTGTAGATGGGTTATCAAAAGAAAAACGAAGTAAATTCCCTTAGGGCTTTACCACAGAAGCCTTTAAAGATCCCTCTACAGATTTGTTTACATTTTGGCCATGTGGATAATACTTTTTAATGAAACAGCTGTTAATTTGTAAATTGTATTTTAAACAAGACACATTAATTGGGAGTTACTGAACTGTCCAAAAGAAGCATTTGCAATGTTATTTTCTGATTTTAAAATTATTTTTTTTCTGTATCATGCTATGTTTTGCAATATATACCATCACGAAATCAGTGGAAAATCCTTTTATCACAGTAACTCTTAAAATTATTTCTTATTGACCTTATATCTATTTTACGGGTTAGTGACTGCCCTTTTCACCATTTTTGTCTTTATTTTTATCATATTGTTCTAGACAGATCATCATAGGTTCATGAGATTATTGTCATACATGTTTTCAATCATTGGAAAAATATTAAATTGTGTAATACAATACAAAATAATAGCCTACAAGTGCAGAAGGGCACGGTGCCTATATGAGCCGTGTCCATATTTTGTTAAATTAATAGTAGTTTACAGCAACTGGATAAAACATTTTACAATATTTATGTAGAAATATTTGCATGATAAATAAAGTCATTAAGCTGGAAAACTGCAATATACTGCAGACTTTTCAGAAAGGTTACTTCGATGTATTCATTCAGCTTAGTGAAAACATAATATAGATATGTACCTATACAAATAAGAACTTGAATTCTTA